CCTCGTAGTAGAATAAATGACGTTGCAGTATATATATATATATGTGCGACTTGGAACTCGGGGCGATACTTTAACAGTCTGGCAGGCCAGAAAGGACGAAGAGAAAAAGTAAGATTGTCTCGGTTTACTTCCCTCCTCCCTATACATACATATACATATACCAGCAGAGGGATCGAACCGAAACTTACGCTGCGCACAATGAAATGCCCCCGCGGACTTTACTCGTGGCTGCAGCTGAATTGGTTTTATGTAAATATACCCGCAAACACACAAACACCGTTCGCGCAACGCTGCCGTTGTCGTCCGCGGAATTCAAAGCGGCGCTTTCTACTTATGCGCTGGTCTGCAGAAACGTATAGTGGCGCACAATAAACCAAATGGAAATCCATCATAGAGTTGGGCGGAGCCAACGGAATGTATAAAACTTATTCCGAGGAACATATATTATTGACGGTATAGTACCACTTGGGGAAGAGTGAATTTTTCTATTTGTTTTAGGGTACATAAACGTAGAGCTGTATACATGTACTTGACGATTTTTGTAAATTATTTCACAGGAGTGACAGATCGCATTTTCTGTTGTTGGAAGTCCCATGTTGAGTATACACTGTTGCCCATCTTCTTAAAAACTTACTTGAGTTCACGAGCACCTCGTTTGGGACATTTTTTTGTTATATTTGAGACGCGTCATTGTAAATTGTGTTACCTTTTATTATTATTTATTTGTTTTTTTTTTTTAACGTAACAGCTACAACGTAATTAGTAAGCAATTCAACGTATTGTAGAATGTATATGTTGTTGGATGAGGACTTGATGCAAAGGAAGATTTTACGGCAAAATCAATACTAGACAAGTATAATGTTGTATAGACCCAAACAAGATTCATGTACCTATTTACATGATTTTTGAACAGCAATACCATGAGCCTTGTTTAACCTCGTATTTTACCTTGGCAAAGATTTTCCCTTCATCCATGTATAAATTGCACCTCGTGTCCAACAAGTACAGGTACTTCTAATGCGCCGTTACCTCAACCCGTGGGGTGCTTTTGTTTCACACCGTGACACGCGTGTTCCATTAACATTTACCCTCGTTCTCACCCCAACCAGCGGAAAGGACAGGAAATTTTGCGAAAAGTTTCGCACGAATCAATGAGAAAGTTCGGAGAGCGAGAAAGCTTTTGTTTTAGAATGGGAGGAGAGAATCCGGCCTCGGATACAGAGGAAGAGAGGGAAACTTCGAAGAAAAAACATATTATGTCGTATATAATGGAAAGGATGGGCAAGAGGAGAAACGGAGTATGGGTATACGTGTATCTGGGGACTATATATATATATAGAGTGGTACAGTGCACGGGGAGAAGGTGTGGAGTGTACACACAGCAGGGCGTGGCTCTCTTTCTCTCCATACCTACGTGTGTCCGTCATTTATTCTCGTCACGTTGCACTTTCGCAAAATAAAAAAAAAAAAAAAGGCTAGATGCGTACACAGTAATCCCCTCTGCTATCTTCGTACGCTCCTCTTTTCTCCCTAGCTCGCGGTGGAGCTAGTCGATCTTTTGAAGAAGCGAAGCCGAAACGACGGACGGAAGAAAGGGGCAAAAGCTCCGGCGAGGGGGGTGGGGAGAAAAAACGAAGGAGCAACGGCTGCTGTGCTGCGGGAGGAGAAAAGTTAAGGCAGAAAGCGACATGGGAAAACAAGAAGATCAAAAAGGCTTAAGGTGCACGCGCCATAAAGGAGCTGCTGCTTCTCTTTTTATACACACATATATATATATATATATATATGTGTGTGTGTATACACGCGGCAGCAGCAGAACAAATAAAAGCTCCGACTACAATGAAACCGTGCAATTACCTCTGTGACCAACATCCCATGCCCCTCCCCACCCATGCATCCTTCCCTCTTCTTTCTCTTATTCTTGCTTTGCTCCTTAAATAGTTTAGCTTTTTAGAAGAGGAAAATAATACCCATGCAGCTAAAGATAAAAATGCCATGCATAAGGGTTTTCAGCCGATGAAAAAAAATTGGGAAGCTTTTTTTTGTATCATCCATCCAGTTTTTGTTTAGCGTTGGTACATACACTACTATTCGAATGTATTCCAGCGACAATGGGATTAAATCAAGATCTATTTTTTTGATGGTTAATAAATATAGATGAATGAAAATCTTGGGAAAAAGCTCTTCGTTTCAAACTCTCCCGCGCGATGTGTATCAGCTGTTTGAAAAGTCACATTTCTCGCACTATTATTGTTTGTTTTTTAATTATTTTTATTATATTTTTCACGCTTTGGTGCTCAACATGTCCAAAGAGAAGCACCACAATTGCTTTCATTCTTTAGTAAAAGTCAAAGTACTACATGAGTACTTTGATGAAATAATTGCTGACGGTAAAAATATTTTTTAAACGACGGTAATATTAGAAAAGGAAAATGAGCGAGTGAAAAGGAAAAAAAATGTAGATAAGCACATCAGATTGAAAGTCGATGTGACAATATTGTACGAGTAAAGGCATAAAAACTAAAAATAACACTCAACAAGTTCGGTCAACAAAGTCCTTAGCAGGGCATTTAATCAGCAAAAGCCGCAAAACCCTCGAAGGCCGAATCGACGTTTCGGACAGCCCGTGAAGGCTGACGCAGACGAGAAAGAGAGAGAGAGAGAGAGAGAGAGACGAAAGTGTAACAAAACCATTAGGCTGCCCGCGTGTATAACTAACTGCATCAGGGTGTACAGGCGAGGGATGGTATCTGGACACACTCCGGTCACGGGGCGTGCACGTACAGTTCCGAAAGAGAAGAGCGAGAGAGAGAGAGGAAGAGCCACAGCAGCGGTGGCATATCGATTTTATTTCACTCGGCACCTCCTCCTCCTCCCCATGCTTCTTCTTCTCTCCACCGGCACAGGGTGTGCGCGCGAGTTTTCGAGTTTTGCGTCCGAGAGGACGAGCGACGGCAGCCAACGTTGCCCCGATACCGCGTGTATGCAACGTCTGTGAAACCGAGCGGTCAGCAGAGGGAACCAACTCCCCCTCGGAATAGATACACACACACACACCCCCGGAGTCCCGGCGCCATGCACTACTTGGTCCCGCCTAACTTATCGTAAGCGAGCGAGTGTTGTCACTGCGACGGAACTTCCTCCGCGGGCGGTGCATTTGTCGACGACGCGAGACTTCCGGGAAAACTGTACCTCCCGAGAATTTCAGGGTATATACGTGTGCATACCTATACGCCAGCCACGGAGAATATTCGGTATTCATTGCGAGCCTGACGCGGAAAAGAAAACCTGCCCGATGAGAGGAGACGAAATTATGCGTGCCCCGATCCAGCTCTCCCCACGCGTAACATTATCATATTCATGCTCATCGCGATTTCTTTCTTTCCCCGTGTACGTATATGTACATGTATGGGCGAGGGGCGCATAATTTATTTTCATTTACGAAAATCAATAGGAGCCAGTACAAGAACACACATACACCGATACGCGCGTGTGTGTACGCCGCAATGCGTGTATAAGCAATTCAATTCGAGCCCTAGGTACATACAGTACACCACTCGATTCTCGATTTGAATCAGCAATAATCGCGCCCTCGCTCGGGTGTGTTGACTTTCAATTTCAAATTAAATTGACAGAGATAAATCAGTAGCCGCCGAGAGACTGCACGTGTAGGTGGAGACAAATGATTTCACGCGCGTATATATGTGTGTCGCCAGTATATGTAGCAAAGTACAAGCGCGACAAAGCCCCAGCAGCAGCAGCAGCGGGTGCAGGTTTGCTTTACTGGTATACGGGATAGCGCCTAACGCAACGTCCGACCGCAGCAGCGTGTTACTACTGGCCTTCGATGTCATGTCGGTATGGTCACCGACCTGCGTGTTTCTATATGGGTATACCTGTACACGGCGTATATGGGCTTTATTTTACCTATACCTGCATCGTACCCTCAGCGGTGGTCCTAATGAGCACTTACACTATATGCCGCTTCTCTATAACATTTGGGCATATTTATACGTGTGGATTTACCTTTTGCGACCCCTCCAACGGCAAATGGCCGATGGAAATTTATTGCGTAACTATATTATGTTACAACTTTTTGGCAAAGGTAAGTATACATTTGCAAATTTTCCAACATGTCTCGATAACGTTCAAGGTTCGATCGAGCGGTGTTTTTTTTCTTCATTCGTTCAACTAAAAGGTTATCAGAATAGATAAAGTTTTCACGGGAAAAGTATTCAAGTTTTTTAAACAAAAAAAAGGGCAAATATTAAGAAGAAAATATTTTTCGTTTCCGTACATAGATATTACCGTTAATTATGAGGATGAAACTATTCTTACACACTTTCATGGTATGGTCTCAAAATGAAACTAGTTCACATTCCGAACTCCAGTGAAACGATGCCACTGGTGCAGCTCGAGAGTTCTACAGATCGAGCTATATGGCACTCGGGTGTAACGAAGCTCAAACAGGGAGGTAAGGTAAACATTTTGTCAAGGATGAACAACAATAATTCCAAAAACCAAATAGCGCGCTCCTCCGTACGACAGTCGCTTACGCAACATTTACGACAGTCTGAGAGCGCGAGATGCAACGGCCCGGTTTTATACAATTAAATTTCACCCGAGAGCGCGCGGAGAGGGAAAAGCATAGCGGCAGAGGAGACGAGAGAAAGAGAAGTGCTGTGAGATAAAACGAGAACGTGGAAATTTGAGGTTTTACGAATGTGTATGTATGTGTGTGTCTCGCGAGTGCCGTAGTTACTACTCATAAGTCTTCGTTCCCTCTCTCCGTCTCTTCGTAAACCTCCGCGCCCCGTTTCACGTACGCGCGTCCACATATACGTAATCCGGTCTTGTGTACAACAAGCCGAGCTCGCATTGTGCACCAGTGAAATAAAAATCGAGTTTTCGTTTTAATTAAAATTTTACCAGTGCAATGATTTTTCCTTTTTTCTTTGGGGTTTCGTGCGTGTAAATTTAAACTCGTGAAATGTACTTACGAGTCTCTGGTTGTGTACCGCTGGCGTGTGGAGGTTTCTATCTGTAACAGAAAAAAAAGGCGAAAAGACCGTGAGTGATTTTACACTTTGCAGCATTGTTAAACAAAACAGCCCTGCTCTGATGGGAAATTCATGAAAGCCAGAATTTATCTGTCGAAGGGACTCGGGCGCGCGTGTACGCGCCAAGTGATTATGCACTTGCTCGATATTCAGGCGCAGCGCAAGAAAAACCGGGACAAAAAAAAACACCCCCCCCCCTTACTCCACCGGATGCGAGCGCTCCTTGCCAAAACACGTTCACGCGTCGCCCAATGTACGATGCGGTAACAACGACGACAACACCAGTCGCATCGATTTTTCTCGCCCGCTAACACTGCCTTTCACCCCTGTAGCGTTGCCATTACCACTTTTTTTCTGACGGGGAATAGTTTTTTAACCACCCACCACGAGAGCACTTTCTTCCTCTTACGCGAGGGTACGAAAAGTGTATTATTGTTCACGATTAACTGGGCTACTTTCTCACTCGCCCGCCCCCCCCTTTTTTTAAATCTTAAAATCGTGAGGTATGGGTAATTAAGTTTTCGCAATCATGACCAACATAATGATGAATCGATCGCCACAGAGGAGTCGCAGAAACCCTCTTGTTGCGTTTCGAGCCAAAGATAATTAAACCAGGCACGGTATAGAAGAGGAGGACTGCATGCATAGGGGGATGGTTGGTAATAGCAGCTGCGGAGAATCATATTCCACGGGGATTTAGCTAATAAATCTCCGGGCTCTTTCTTCGTTCTCAATTTCCGTGGCAGCCAGCTGCCGCGCGTGAGCTTATTCTCTCTCCCCCCGCCTTTTTCTCTTGGTCCGCGTGTCGCGACTTTTCCACCCCATAGCAAAGCCTACCCCTCCCGTGCACCACCCACAAGTGCTCTTCCATTACGCGACCTCGGACTGTATATATATATAAATGCTCGTACACGCTCGATATTATACGCGCTGCTCGATTAGAGGGAAAATCCATTTCGCGGCCGCTCGTACGTCGAGGTTCGCTCGCTCTCAGTGTCCGTGTATATGCAGCGCTGCCGCCGGTGGATGAGAAATCGAGGCCTCTTCGAGTCATTTTTACGCGCGCCATCGGCTCTTTTCTCCTTACCTGTTTGCACTGCTCTTTTTTTTTTCTTTGTTTTCATAAAAATAACGCAAGAGAGAGGACATTCGATACGGAGGGTTTTTCGTGCGACAGATTTGGATTGTAAACTTTTGTTTGCACAATCGGAGGGGCAAAATTGTTCGCAAATAAATCCGATTTTCCAATTTTTCAAAATTGAGCGCAACGAAATTGGAATTTAGAAAAAAAAAAAAAAAAGCAAAGAAGATTAGAGAAAACGGAAGGTAGAAAAAATACGATTAACCGTAACCGGGTATATGTATATGTGGTCGATGGCGCAACGGAAGGTATACACGTTGAAGCAACTTTTACGCAAACTCGGCTTTATATACTTACGTAGCCCGCTCTCGCGTAACAGCTTCCCTCCGGAAAGGGGTATATAATACACCGGCGGTGGTTTAAGCAATTCCAGGTCACGTAAGACGCTTCGCGTGGTTTATTTTCGAATAAAAACGCCGCTCGACGTGTATATACATACGCGTACATAGATGCACAGGAGAAGCGCACAATCGCCCGTACCTATACTCGGTTTTCACTTACCGACCAATTGGCTCTTCTTACCCCTACATTCATACATGCCGATCGGCAAAGTTATGTATGCATACGCTCCGTTCAATTTCTCGTGCGGGGAATGCACATAATACGTACACGATGTAGCTTGTATGCTTATTCGGATACTGTTTACCTACACCCGGGGATATGCTTTTCTTCTTTCCGAAAACATTGTCTTGCAATGCGGAGGCAAAGGAGCCTGTATATATGCTTACACGCTACTTATTTCCGCAAAATTTTTCGATACGAATAGATGACTTTTGCTATACCTCCGTTTTATCCAGCACAAAGGGCAATAACTTGCGTACCTATCAGCAAAAAATAAAAAAATAAAAAGTTCTTACACGGGAATGAAATGGAAAATGAGGAGCACAATACGAAATTCAGAAGGCATTGTATTTGGTCACCCACTTTGACGCTGTTGCTTTTCGTTCGTCATGTGCTTCCTCTTTTTCTTGCTCGGAGGTGAGAATTTGTTTGTATATTTAAAGGCTGTGCGAGAGGGGGAAGGTATTTTTTTTCTCAGCTATGGATGAGTTGAGCAGAAGAAGTTTCAAGGTATAGGTGAATGCTCCTGTTTTACATATGTGCGCAGCATCTTGTGTTTTTTTTTCCACCACCCATCACAGATTTATATACTGTAGATGTATAAACATCACAAAATTTACAAAAAATATCCTGTTTTGTCACTGATTTTTAAGTAAAAATTTTTACACATTTTCAAACACGTTTTCGAAATTTTATCACATAAAACATGACATTGCGAGAAAAAGGATGTCCTCCTCCAAAAAAAAAATTTTGATTAAAATAACGGGGACTTACACGAGATATATTTTTTGTGGATTTTCTCATGTTTATTTAAGTATGATCTTACAAATTGTTAGCTTCCGTTGTTGTACAGCTATTTTGTAATTAATTTTTGAGGCCACGCGTCATCGTACCCGCTTGACCTAATAAGCTATTGTTACACTTCGTTACAAGAATCACGTCGGTATATTGTACTATACATATAAAAAAAAGTGAGGGCGGGAATTTACCCTCAAACAGCAGCACCAGGGCAGCTTAATGTCGGCAGAAACGCTCGTCAACCACTCGAAATATAAAATAGAGTACACACACACATACATAAAGAGAGAGAGAGAAAAAAAAGTCGCGGCACTCAAAATACGAGTTGCAGTACATATATATATATACACGGACAGAACAGGAGGAGAGAACAGCGGCAGCAGCGAGGCTCGGCTGAAAATTCAAAAGATGAAAAGCGAATGCCAGCGAAACAATTATCCGGCCCCGAGCTTCAGCCGGACCGGGGCCATTGTTCTTCTCGATTGCTTTTTAAACGTCCCTCCTCCACAACTTGGTACTCACATGCACACACACAGCCGTTCTTTGCCCTCATCTTCCACTGTACAGCCCTGCCGCGTATATTTATATGTATAGATATTACAGGGCACTCCGCGTCCCTCACGAGCGGCACTCGAGGCCTGCGCGTCCTCCAGCCAGAGACTCGCCTCATCTCTCTCTCTCTCCAGCAATGTCCAACTCCCCCACGAGCCAAAGTGTCCTCGGAGAATCGGCCGAGAATATTAAACAAGCCAAAGCGCCTCTGTACACCCGAAGCCGAAAGCTCGGCTGGCTGTATCGCAGTCGCAATTTCAGGGGGTTGGGGGGGTTGGGGGGAGAGGGCGGTGCCCTGTAAATTTCACTTTGCTAAACTTATGGGGCTCGGCTCGTTTGCTCCTTCAATATTAGCACACCGCGCTGGGACGTCTTGAGTGTGTAACGTATACGTGTATGCATATAGGCTACACGCAGTTTCGCAAAATCCTCGACCGATGATCTTATATGCGTGCGGTGTTGACTTTTTGGTTCGTCTTTGCGTCGATTACCGATTTTTCGGATGATCCTTTATTACGATATACGTATATATTTATGTACGCGGGTGAGCTCGTGGCCCATGTGTTTTATTGAAACTCTCTTTGTTGAGTTTAGTTAATGCATCGTTCGATGCTTTGCCAATTGGTAATTATATTACTTCAACGCAAGCGCGAAATGAGTTCCAGCTTCATTAATTCAAGTTTCGTCCAACCTTTCTAATGCGAATACTTTCCCACTGATACAGTACATGGTATGCCTATACTTCGTTTGGAGATACTTTATCACGTAGGAGTAATTAACGCTCGTCTGCAATATTCGCTACCACGTAATTCCCGAAACGCGGGTGAGGTTTGATTTAAAAGTACGTTCGATGGTGACGGCGCATCAACATCGCAATAATATATAATTTGCACCGGCGACGACGGAATGCGAAATCTGTAATACAATGCCAAATCGTTTTACTTCCATTGGAAATTCGGGAAATTCTACGTGTCTTTTGGTTTTATTGGCTGCTGTGCGGGGTCAGTGTAAAAAAAAAAAAAAGAATCAAGTTAGAGTCCTTGTCCTCGTCGTCGTGTCGAGTTATAGCTTGAACGCGCGGTTTCGATAGCAAAAAATAATTCGTATAGAGAAATGACAGGGGAAATAAAAAAAAAAAAAAAATCGTATAGAGAAATGACAGGGGAAATAAAAAAAAAAAAAAAAACCGCGCCCGACAGCGATTGTCATTGCAAATTAACGGGTGCGTACCACCTTTCGAACGAACGAGCGATAAATCGGGAAAATAATAAAACTGACGCGCCTATTATTCGATGGCAAGCGAAGAGCGGACAAAACGCGGGAAATAAAAATAAAAAGCGCGCTGGTGTAAATAATCCGCGGGGCAAATACATTCACGCGCTTTGGCGAAATTGGACCCCCTCCCGTTCGTCGTGGGCCGTGAAAGGAAATACTCGTGGGTGATACGGCGTTTAATTCAATTGGAGCGCTCTAGCATACCCCCCCCCCCCCACCCTCAAAGTATCCATCGACGAGGGCGCTTCCGCTTTAAAAAATCCGAGCACGCGTGCTCTTTTATCATTTAGCATAAAAGCCCCCGTGTGCCATTGCTGCGCACACGACCGTATTAGCGCACGGGCGACCGGTGGATTTTAAATTTCCACGAGCATATATTTTTCGAGAGAGTTCCGCTCGCCCTGTACGTTTACGGGACGATAACGTGATTTCCCGGTACCTCCCGGTTTCCATCCGGTACCGTATATATATATATATATACCGAAGAGGTTCGCTCATGGATACGAATATGGTAATGACGCGCTGTGTATAGAGGCCCATCGATGCGAGCTTGCAGCCACCGTGAGCGATGGCTCGTTCCAGGCCTGGCTAGCTTCGATTTTCCCCGCTCCCACTGTGCACTGGCGCTCGGGCACTCTACGTGTATATATACTC